GTAATTGGCGTAGTGTGCAAAACCTCGGCTTGCTAAGCCGAAGGTCCCGGGTTCGATTCCCGGTTGGGCCCTCAAAATTTTTCCGTCAATTCTTTCATTATTAGCAAAACTCATAAAGCAAAAAAACACCACAGATACATTTCGGTAAAAATAAAACGAAAATGGAAAAACGTTTCTTCACTAGAAATACAAAAAATTAAAAAAAAAAAAATAAGCAATGGAGTATCTCAGACGTTCGAAACGTGTTCCTCCACCTTCCAATTACACTTCTAACTATAAGATAAACTTGAGAAATTGACAGGTAGCCTTTAATATACTCCTATTGAAAGACTGGAAATTCTATTTACTAAATACGCAACAACGTAGAATGAAATTGATAAATAATGCAGCTGCGCGGTAATATGGTTGAGGAATTGGGGCAGTCCTTAATCCTCTCCGAAGATTCCTCATATAAATTTCCTTCAGGGTGGATGATGATTTATTGCGCGACTGCACGTTTCCGAAGTATCCGCGGAATTGCAGCAGAAAGTTCCGCCGGAGTAAATCGTCGGTTATCTCGCGAGCGAAAAGCATAATCGCGAATAAAGGTAAGCAGTCTTAAAAGGATTCGAAATAGGGCCAGGAAAAAGGAGTACATACAGGCAATGACAATGCTGTTTCTTTCTCTACCCTCGATTCTTGGTTTGTTCGTGACATGCTTCTTAATGGCGCGTTCGAAAGGGGAACAAGAAGCTTGTGTAATTCTTTTTCCCCTCGTTTACTATGATCATCGACGTCCGTGGCTCGCGTTGATAAAAATTGCAGCTTAAAATTTCGTTTCTCTGACAAAATTACGTTGCGGATGAGAAAATTTTGAAAAAAAAAAATTGGAGCAATTGGAAATTAGGGTTGCAGAAATCTGGAAATTACGTACATATGTTTTTTAAGGTATTTTTAGGGAAAAAAGTGATTAAAATTTCAACCGTTCAACGTTTGCAACGTGACCCTCAATGCTGTTTTCAATATATAATTAGTAAAAAAAATTGTTTAAATTGCTTCCTATCAACCAAATGTCTTTTGAAGTGCATTTCAAATAAAATTCTTAAAATAATAGGGAGTTATTGAAAAGAAAATTACTAACTATACTTACTTACTGTACAAGAGTAACATATGGTGGACAGTTCTACGTGTGGTTTGTATAACACGTGATAATAAGTTCAATAGCAATATATTTTATAACAATAATTTCATAATAACTATAAACACACGTAAAAAGGAATAATGATAATCTGATCAACGGTCTCTTATTATATCTCGCAATAAATTCTCACGCACTCTCTGATATCAGTAACAACGTGGTTCTACTGTTTTACTCCCTGTTTCTCTCTATGATTCGCTCGTTTCTCGCAATAAATTCTCACGCACTCTCTGATATCAGTAACAACGTGGTTCTACTGTTTTACTCCCGGTTTCTCTCTATGATCCGCTCGTTCTCCAAATCTCGAGACGATTCGACAAGCACACTACATTCACGCCATCACTCACAACATATTATTAAACCAATTCCACACTACGAAGCCCCATAGACCTGCTATCCTAGAAAATATCAACTTTAACCCTTCCGACCCGACATAGGTACTCTTTTCTTAGTTATTCAGTATGGTATATTAAAATCACAATATTGTCAAAGACTCAAATACTTTATAAACAATTCGATATGTTTCAATTTAAAGTCGGCCGGCGTGAACGGACCATTAAATTTCACGTCGGCCGTAGAAAATCGAACCGCTGCAAACGCCGTCGGGTCGGAAGGGTTAAGAGTATCCCTGTTAATTATTTGCCAAGTAGTAAATAGCTTCTCAGTCGCCTCTCGAGTGCAAAGGGTTAAATTATCTTTAAAAATTTCAATTGTATCTTCATCTTTTTTTTTTAAATTACACTAATTTTTAACGCAAACTGGCAATGTCTCGTTAAAAACAGCTCTGTGTTCTGTATTAACCCTTTCGCGACTAGCGCCGGTTATATCCAGTATCCACTAAATGCTTCACACTGGCTAACGCCGGTTATATCCGGCATCCACTAAATGCTTCACACTGGCTAGCGCCGGTTATATCCAGCATCCACTAAATGCTTCACACTGGCTAGCGCCGGTTATATCCAGCATCCACTAAATGCTTCACACTGGCTAGCGCCGGTTATATCCAGCATCCACTAAATGCTTCACACTGGCTAGCGCCGGTTATATCCAGCATCCACTAAATGCTTCACACTGGCTAGCGCCGGTTATATCCGGCATCCACTAAGCGCGTCGCAGTGGCTCGCGCCTCGACAAATCAAAGTGAAGATTTATTTTAAAATACAGAACAAGGCCTCAACCAAAACATCCTTAAGTCCTCTGCTGTTCCAACGAAATCCTCTAAGATTTTACACGGACACACTGGGAGCTCGAAAAACGCGAGACACTCGTGGTGTGTACAAATGGCACGGCGACCCGTCCGTTAGCGGCGTACCGATGCCTAGTTCCGCCGTCGCGAAAGGGTTAAATATCGCAAAAAGCGAGATTCATCTCTTTCAGCTGAAGTAATAACTTCCGCATTTTCATAAATTTCAATCTGTCGATAAAGTATGATCTACACCGTATGCTTCTCTACTTGTTAAATATAATGAACGACGCTAAGCTGGGAATCTATCGCGTATCGTGTTAAGTATATCATTCTGTTGAATCCTCTCATCAGTCATCCTGTTAAGCTAAAAATAAAATACTTGATATACGTACAAGAAACGATAATTTGCATCTAATTTTATGACTTTCCTCGCATTTCACACTGGGTCGTGTAAACAGGCTTCTTCGAAATATCGTCTACTTAATGCACGTATGTACGTGCACAGATTGAAATACAGAGAGGTGAAACGACGTTGAAATTCGAGCTTTATTCCTATCTTCGCTGCAGCAATTTTACTGTTCGATAAATTTGTTCACGAAAGTATACAATAGACTGACAACGGTGAAACAGCTCCTTTGACAGATTCCTTTGTCACTGTAATAATCCTGATTCTGGTATCGTTATAAATGAATAGGAGTATCGTTGATAATGGCAATACTGCGAACAATAGAATAAAATATTCGTTCAATCCCATTTATGGTCGAAATATCAAAGCAAGAATTGCAAAATATTATTTTGCAATGTGAAATAACGTAATCTCGAAGCATAAGAAGAATAACAAATTTTGTGAGTTACAGTAATATTGTGCAAACCATAGAAAAATATTTATGGTCGAAATATCAAAGCAAAATTTACAAAATATTATTTTGCAATGTGAAATAACGTAATCTCGAAGCATAAGAAGAATAACAAATTTTGTGAGTTACAGTAATATTGCAAACCATAGAAAAATATTTATTCAATCTCATTTATGGTCAAAATGTCGAAGCAGGAATTGCAAAATATGAAATACGAAATTGAAACGTTAAAAAATGATAAATGTTGCGAGTTTAATTAATTGGAAGATATATTTTTATCTTCTTTGCATACTAATTCGTAGATAACAGAGTAATTTTTTCCCAGAAATATCTATAATTAAGCAAACTTTCAGCTGACAAGCTTTCATTTATCGAATATTTTCTATAAAAATTAGGAATTATTATTATTTTGCAAATTTATCTCCGGATTTTAATGATTCCATCGGAAAAACACTTATGCTAGTTTTATAATGTTTGCTTACGAGCATCGTTGATAGTCTACGTCTTCATCGTTAACTAGAGCTTATCGCTGCACTTGAAACGAGATTAAATGACTCTCATCTCAATAAGAAAGTGAAGTAGACTCGTCAGTGAACGCGAAATTTCCAGTATACAGACTTAATTGCTAATCATGTTGTAGAAATTTTGATAACTCGTCAAATATTTGATATGAAACGCTGACGTTTATCGATTGCTTGAAAACATGGCACCCTTTGCTTCGAATATTTAGCGAATTAATCCAATTTATTATTACGAAAAGCTATACCATATAAAATTCATTTTTTCCAATCGTAAGAAAGCAGTCTAAATGAATTTAATTTGTTCTTCTATATTAAATAGTAAATTCTCACGTCAAAAATATATTTCCTCAAGTTTAAAATGTGAAAAATGCATTTAAATATTCGTGTAACATTACTCATTAAAGATATAGAAAATTCTAGACGACATTTCATTCTTATCATAACCACTGTTCTCTGATCCAAGTCTCCTCATTCTCGTGACAAAGTACACACACTCTAAAAACACTTTAACTCCTCCAACACTTCGATCAAATCCTACTCTAGTAAAATAGATATCTAAATCAAATCTAATATCTGCAATTCCGTCCTTCTAACGCTTACAGTTCAATTTACACGAAGCACCACTATCTACTATCCGCAGAATTTATATCAAATTCAATGTTTACGATATGTTATTCATTGATAAATTCACACTGATTGCAAAATCGACAACAGGTTCAAATATGCGTAATGAACTTCATCTCGTCGCGGTTATTCGTCGTGTCTCATGTTATCCAAGAATTTATTGTATTTGATCCAAATGGAAGGTATAGTCGATGGAAGAGATATAGCAAGATCGTAAAATCGATCAGGCGTGAAAATTTACACGTTCGAGAATATCTACAGAAACTGGAGATAATAAGGACTCGAAACTTCAGTCATGGTCGCATGAAGTATGACTTAGCTTTGATTCAGTACCCAATCGAAAAACTAAAAATGCCACATTCGACCCTGTCTGTTACTGCACCCTTTTCTTAACAGAATTATTACCTACGATGAAAATTGAGTACTTTACGATAATCGAAAAAGATCTAGACAGTGGTTGGACCTTAATGAACCACCTAAACCAGTGCCGTTCAGTCATTGCCCGTACGGGCAGCGTATTAGACTTCCGCGGGCAACAAGCCACGCCTTCCCGGGCATATAGCCACGCCTTCCCGGGCAAATAGCCACGCCTTCTCGTGCAACGGTGCGTGTAAACACTATGCGTTGCTGAGAAGATGACAAACGGAAGGAATGAGGGTCTCATTGGTTGTAGCGGACACACTCATAAAGTCGGATCATACGCATTTTTATTATTGGCTGAAACGATCACGTATATTAATCAGATCATATGGCATCGCGTGACGATGAGAATCAAAGGTGAAGTGAGCGCTCATAAAGTCGGATCATACGCATTTTTATTATTGGCTGAAACGATCACGTATATTAATCAGATAATATGGCATCGCGTGACGATGAGAATCAAAGGTGGAGTGAGCGGCTTACTGTTCTTGCCCCTGTGCTGTCCCGCTCATGATCTTCTCAGCAACCCACAGTACGTATCTAATAACTAGACTGCAGATACATTTAGAGGTGCAAAATTGCACAGAATGCATGTAATATGAAGAAATATACAAAATATACAAATTATAGTGCTTTCTATAATACCTGGTAGATGAAATAATTTTCTACCAAAGTTTTACTTCTTCTACTATATTCTCAAAAATATGAATTTGCATAAAAATCCACAGTCTAGTAACAACCATCGCCCGTTTTAAGAAAACTTATGTTTCGGAGATATGTAAGTAACACAAGCATCATTCAGGTTTTTGGCTTAAGTACGGAAAATAAATTTATAAAATGTTCTAAATGGTTCAATTTCTCTTCAGAAACGCCATAACAGATATTTCACGAATTAAAACAGCTGTATATGATTTACGACAAATATGAATTAATTAAAAAGTTATAGTAGCGACGCTAATGTGTTAATATACGTGACATCGCTAGCCCGCGATTTTGCCCTCAGATCTACCCGCGGGCATCGGCGGGCGCCCTTGCCCGCCTAAAGAACAACGCTGTCTTATCCTAATCGAAAAACCGCTATTGTACAGAGCTGGAAAGAATGCTAGCAGGGGCAAAGGGGATACTACGCAGAGAAGATTTTTCCATATTATTATTGTAGAATCAGGGCCTCCATACCCAAATAGGGAACCGACAAGGAAAAATAGAGAGGGCGTTATTGGCGTAGTGGGCAAAGTCTCTTATTGGGTCCCTCGATTTTTATCTCGGTTCCTACATAAATAACGGAAATATTTCAGGTGTACAAAGTTTTTATTCCACCCTGTATATCCCACAAATCTTCTACACACGTATTATAAATAATACGGGTCACAGATGACCCAGTTGCGTTAATAAATTACAAGTACCTGCAGAGGCAGGCGGTTTTGTGCATTGTAGAATACAGAAGGAGAGGTACATAAGAAAAAGAAGATGGTGGCAACCGCTTTAGCATTCGAGAACGACTCGATATAATTTCCTTGGCGATCTTGCATAATTAATACACATGGTCTGCAGAAATGCAAATGTAGCATAGCCATAAAGCAATCTGTAGTTTCTGATTTTTATCACGGATTATTGACTGTAGGGTGAAAAAATATTCAAGCGACTAATTGAAAAATGGCGAAGCCCCTGTATCATAAACTAAAAATTTTGTAATCGAACAGGCTATACTTAATCACTTGCACGTCCAAACGACGTGTAACGTGCTTTAATGCGACGTAAAATACCGAGGCTAGTGATGGAAACAGGAAAATGTCCGCAACGCGGTTACAGATTTCTCATTTGCGGGAACATTTTTCTTCGCGACAAGGTTGGCAACGGTGTTACGTTACACACGTCTGCCTGCGCTCGGCTTACGATTCGATCCTTTAGAGATCCCCATTTCACACGTGCACGCGTGTATTAAACGTAGCCATACTACAGGCTGTGTAATTTGTGTGTGTATTTAGAGATATCTATTTCACGTGTATTCATTTGTTTCATCTCTGTTCCGGTTGCATTATCATGAAATTTGTTGTTAATTTAAACAGATTAAGTTGACATATAGACAACATAAAATTGACAAATAAGAAACATATTTTTCATAACTTAAATCCCAAGTGAGATATTCCACCGTTCTCGTTTAACCCTTTTGGAGGCAACCAGGTAGCCATTTCTATATTTTCCTTTAACAATATTTGATGTACTTGTGAAAGTGTCGTAAAATCGCTCGGAATCCCCACTTTTTGGACATTTTTATGTCGATACACCTCTTCAAAATAAAAATTTATGCAAACAATTTTAAATATTGAAGCTTGAAACAACCGTGAAAATTTTGGGTGGCTATGCAGGAGTTAAATGTAACACTGTTGTATAAACGAGTTTCATTCACTCCTGGATAAAAATTCCCAATAAAAATATTCAGTAGATCAGACAGTAAAACTACTAGTGGGGATGGGTGTATTTTGTAATTGAGGTTATGAAAGTGTATTTTAACATTAAATATTTATTAACAGTGATATACTTAAGGCTAGATGATTACGAAACTGCAACTGTTATCCCTGTTTACTCTAAGACTACACTGTTCTACTCTTTCATACTACTCGAGTTCTACTCCCCACAAATCCTCTTTCCACGCTCTCCACTGAAGTTCCAGACCGATTCTCTTTTCACACTGTCTTTGTTGCAACACGCTTTCCTCGATCTCCCCCGAAAAACTATTTCTCCCCTTCGTTCTCTCCCACTAAATAGGCACACTGTGCAGAGGCTGAGAAGTTGTCTCAATAGGCTCACCTTCTCTAACACAATCACAAAAATCGAGCACACTTATGTCGTTATTAGTCTCGTGCTGAAATTTCGTAAAATCGTCAGTATTACCATTACTAACGAGATGTCACCACGCTTAACTGTATCAAATACTTCTTTTGTTCTTTCTTCCATTCTTCTTGTCGCTACCTTAGTCCTGCTCATTAAACTCTTCTCAGCAACGCACGTTCCACGTTTTTCTCCTGCCTTGTTACATTCTGACCTAGCCAGATCATGATTCAACCATCCATTCTACCACTAACGTCTAGAAATCGAAACCCAAGGGAAAAAATCCTCACCTCAGTTGGGGTTTAAGTCCCGATCGGGCTTCCTAGTGCAGTTCGACGAGCTTGTTCTAGCCGCGGTGGTTTGGATAGATGGTAGATATTACTGCTGAATGAAGGTACAGGCGATAGCCTCGATACTCTGGATACCAGAAAGGGCGGCTTACACTAGTTGTCATTATTGGCTAAACACGATAACATCGACAAATCGGATCATTCAGCACCGCGTAGTGGAATATTCGAGCGGTGCGAGTGAATTAAGTGCAAGTCTGATTGGGTCGTATCCCCATAAGCCCACCTTCTCTAACGCAATCATAGAAATAGGACACACGTATTGTCATTATTGGCCGCCGGCGCGATAACATCGACGAATCTGTGCTGCCCCGCGGGCAAACTCCTGAGCACCGCGCAGTGCTTATTGCGTAGAGCTCATAAAATTGTCCCTACAAGAAATGCGGGTGTGATTGAGTCATACCTCCATAAGTTCACCTTCTTTAACACAATTATAAAAATAGGACACACGTATTGTCACTATTGGCCGACACGATAATATCGACGAATTGAGTCATTTAAAATTGTGTGACGTGAGATTTCGACGGGGCGATCGAAGTGCCTTTCTTGCCCCTATGCTGCCCCGCGGGCAAACTCCTGAGCACCGCACAGTGCTTATTCTGTAGAGCTCAGAAATTTGCTCTTGGAAGAAATACGGGTGTAATTGAGTCATATCTCCATAAGTTCACCTTTTTTAACACAATCATAAAAATAGGATAGTATTGTCATTATTGGCCGACGTGATAATATCAAGAGCGAAATGTCCTTGTTGCCCCTGTGCTGCGTCGCGGGCAAACTCCTGAGCACCGCACAGAACACGTTAGTAGAAATGGGATCAAGTTCAATAAGTTCAATATGTACTTACGAACCCGAGTCAATTTCAATAACCAAGTTAATTTCATGGGTTTCGATTACTACTCATAAGGAATAAAGTTTCAATAAGTATCCTTGCAATGTAATCATTTTATACAAAATGCTTTCGAACCCTAGAATGAGTACTTACAGGTTTCGAAAGAATGGAATCTTTCACAACTAGTACTCGAATCTTGGAAATAAGAATTCTATAGCATGTTTAAGTAATACACTCCGTATAATGGTTACAATTTTGGTAAGTTAGTTAACCCAAGTTAGGCAACCCAAGTACTCACAAAAGATTCGAATCTATCTCGTTTACGTTCGAGTATACTTGAAACCTACTGTTTCCATTTTCCAAAATACTTCTAAAGAATTCGAATCCAATCGGTCAAAGTTCGAATCTACTTGCTCCCCCAGATTTTTTCGATTTTTCCCCCAGAAAAAGAGTCTGCTTTGCATCCATCTATCCTCACTTTCCCTTTCATCGCTCCAGTCGTACCTTTCTAAAAACTTCCGTGCGAAGATAAAAGGCGTGTACAATCCTACATTAACTCCGTACTGATTACAGAATGCGACAAGAGAGTGGTGGTAAAGCGAGAAGCCGGCGGAGAGTTCGGTTTTCGCATTCACGGCTCGAAACCAGTGGTGGTTTCCGCCATCGAGCCGGACACACCTGCGGAGAGCTCTGGCCTTGAAGTCGGCGACATCGTGATGTCTGTGAACGGGAAAAGCGTGATGGACGCAACGCATTCGGAAGTGGTTAGGCTAGCACACTCCGGCACCGACGTCCTTGAACTCGAAGTAGCGAGAACCTGCAATGTGTTGGCACCGCGAGTGGCCAGGACCGGGACGAAGGAAGGCACCGACGAGGCGCCGCTCTGTTCTGGCTACCTTTGGAGGAAGTCTGCCAGCTCCTCGACCACGGACAAGTGGGTGCGAAGATGGTTCGTCCTGCGCCGCGACAACTGCCTCTACTATTACAAGACTGACGCGGTAAGCATGAAAGTTTCTGTTCTTCCATATAGATTGTTATCGATAGGGAAAACAATTGATGTTACGGTGGGTGATCGAATTAGAAAAATATGTTTTTTCTTTTTGTGTAGAAATAAAATCACAATATCAAGGTTTCCACGCTAGATAATTTTTAATTAACAATTGTTCGCTAGAGATACACGAAACAGTTGAACTTAGCTTACGTAGTTACAAGAAATACAGTTAAGAGGTAACAATAAAGTCCGTACAGTAATGTCTCTACAAGTGTCAGTCAGTTTGGATTCTACAAGTGTCAGTATAGATAGTCCTACGCCTAGGTCTGCGTCATTGCTGCGCCTATGTTATCTCGCTCGCAGTCAGTCAAGCATGTAACGCTACACCACTCGGTTTCTTTTACGAGATTTCACGGCTCGACAATTCATAATAGAAAAATATAATTTCTTTAATTTTACTTTTTTTCATCTGAAATT